ACAGGAAAGGCTGAAAGAGCTGGGGCTATCCAGCCTGGAGAAGAGAAGGCTCGGGGGGACCTTATCACTGTATAGAGATAGTGGGAGCAAAGACAGTGGGAGCAAAGAAGACAAGATCTCGTAGTAGTGTCCAGGACAGGACAAGAGGCAGCAGGCACACAAAATGCAGGAAATTTCATCTAAACAGAAGAACTTTTTCTTCCTGTACAGGTGGTCAAATACTGGCTGCCCAGAGAGGCTGTGAAGTCTCCACCTTTAGAGATATTCAAACACAACCGAACACAGCCCTGAGCAACCTGCTGTGGCTGACCTACTATGGGCAGGGGTGGGACTGGGCACTCTCCAGAGATGCCGCCCAGCCTCAGTGCCACCGCAGTTCTATCCTATGGTTCTATCACATAGCACTAAGTTCCAGTTAATAAACGTGTTTGAGGATATAGTAGAGGAATCAGTACTAATCTACAAGGTAAGGACAGCTCAGATGGTAACAAGTGTAAATAAAGTTTCTAAATTGCATGAAGGATTAAATAAAACGTGATTTTCTACATGGGTTAAAGTGTAAGGCATTTGTCACCTCCAAGTCTCTTACTAAGATCTTCTGATGATTTTTTTTCAGCTTTCCATACATGCTTACACTGCTGCAAGTCTAAAATCACTTGAAAGGAGTTGGTTTTACCTATACATATTTTACACTAAGATTTTGTTTTCCTATCTGTATACATAGCCCTGGTCTTTCCAAATCTATGATCCAACAATTCTATGACTACTTACAGCATCTTTCTGCAGAGAACCAGTTCCCAGTATGCTTTTCATGACCCAGAGGCAAGCTATCTCTGAAGGTGGACAGTTCACCCATGTTTTCTATCTGACTTAGAAAAGTGGAGTCTGGCCGTGGTCAATTCATGTAGGAGGTTTTTTGTGCAGAAATAAAACGCGTAGCTGAAAACCAGCCACAGTGTAATGGATGCCACTATTGGCTCTTGATACACAAATACAGAAACTGTGTATCACACATGGTAATCGTTCAACCTACCTGTTTCCTGCCCAACTGGATTGCCAATTGCTTGTCGTGCAAACAAGCTGCCAAATCAAAATGAGAACATACCTCCCCGTTCTACACTTAAAATAAAGAAATGAAGAGAGTGTCAAATTCTCTAATTCTAGAACAATAGCAACTGGGAGCTGGTTAATGTTCAGCCTTCAGAGCCACTAACTCTACAGGGACTTGCTTTTATGATCCCAAGTAGATGAGGAGCTCAGACTGCAAAATTCAGAGATGTCTTTGTCATAGCAGAAGGACAAGCAGACAGCACAGGGCTAAGTCTTGTTCTCAGGCCAGAATGCAAATGCATTCAGCTGATGATCATGTCTGATTATCCAGCCATGTCACCAATATCTGTGCCTTGACCTACCTCAAGCCCAGCAGCTCGATATGCTGATTCAAAGATATCAGAGACAAATGACAGTTTTAAGGCAGCACCTGAGAGAAAGCCAGCAACCCACACCTATTGAGCAGGGACTCTCCCCACACTCACCACAGCCCCCGTCTCAGTTCTCCTGTGCCACATGAGGGAGCACTGTCGCTGCAGCAGCTGTCAATAACCTATCCCTTCTCCAAGTGAACCCACCACCACCCACTCCTTGCCACCAGGCCAGGTAGTAAGCCAGGCACTGTCTGGGGTACTATTAATTCCCAATTCCTCTGTTTCTGTACACTTACACACCTCTGCACACCTATAAAAATTTTTGTCCTGGTATGTGTATGGAGGGTCTGCAACATCCAACAAGTTGTCTCTGACAACGCCATCAGCCAGGCTTAGTATTTTGTGGACCAAGTGAACAATTGTTCTTTGTACTCCTTTCCGCGACTGTTTTGTGCTCCACAGCCAGCACAGGATCTTGACCTCCTGTCCCAACCCTAAAGCTGAGCTTCCCAACAAGCATGTTCCACCGTCGCATAAGAAAAACCGAGGTCAGAAGGGATTCAGAAGGGAAATGCAACCTGACATCCATGAGCACAGCACAACAGTGCATCTTGTACTCAGAGAAAACTAGTCGCACTGTACAGGAGATACAGGCGTCCACACACCCAACAAATGCTGCAAAAATTGTATTTAAGAAGCAGGGAGTGTAGGGGAGCATCGGATATTTTAGCAGCTGAGTTATTGCCAGGGAGACACTGCCTAGCAGTAAGTGCTAGACAGCATCAGAGCAATGACTTCTCTTCTCCATGCATTTGCACAGCTGCACCAGCTCATGTGGACAAGTCGCTACTTCTGCTCTACAGAAGCGCGTGGCAGAATGAGGCAAGAGTGCTATACATCCACTGCAAAGACGTGTAAGGAAAATTACACACTGTCTGTGTATACACTATCTTGCTCAAGCTACTAATCGTCCTCTCCATGAACAATAGACTTCACACACATTTTTAACAAAGCAAAGGAAAAAATTATCTGGGTGCAACAAGCTTTCAAGATGCATGAGCGGTGAGGTTCAGGCTCTATGAAATGAAAGGAAACTAAATACGGGGAGAAACAGCTAATGGAACTGAAGCAAGACATGAGCAAGTCACAGCAAGACAGGGTGGCCAAATGCTGACTCCAGTGAGACTGATTTGTTAAACGAAGCAAACAATTTGTCCAAGTTTCACCAAATAGTAATAGAAATGTCACTCCTCTTCTAATGATTGGAATTTGAACAAAACTATCTGGAACAGATGGATATTATGTATATAAGTATGTGTGTGTATATATATATGTATTAGTGTTTGGTATATCTTCAGATCTTGAATTTATTCATTTCAGCTGGTTCTTTAAAAGGTCAAGAGGTACCAGTCTGTTGGAGAGTTTTGGTTTTCTGGTCTTTTTTTAAGAGATAAATAAATACAAGTGACTTCCTGGAAAAGTATTTCAGATGTGAAATTGAACAATGTTAGATGCACACACTGTCAGGCAAAAAAATATTTATGCGGGACTAATTCCAGTATCCAATATTGGTTCACTACATAGCTTGCTGAACTCACTTTCATCTGTCATCCTAGTTTATGCCAGCAGCTCGAAAAACAAAACAAACCATATTTTTAATAACAAAGGAAACCCTACTTAAATTAAAACCCCTTGTTAGCATTTAATGTTCAACTAAGCCAAAGAAGGAAGCTGTGGTGAAAGCAAACAAATATGAAACGTGAAGAATTTCACTCCATTTACTCTGGGTAAAAGCTGCTTAGCTTGGTCTGACTGCTAAACTGATTAACAAGCAGATTCAGCTCTCAAGTAAGTTAAAACTCCCTCTAATGGCAACTGGATAAAGGACAGAGTTTGAAAAAATGAAAAGCGTCTCACTGCATTTGAAATGTATTTTCGGCTAGGCAAAATCCAGTTAGTATGAATGCTTTTGAAAAGTGAAACTTTAACTAGTGCCCAAGATTCTTTTAAATTACAACATATTTGTTTACATTCCTGACATAAATTTTTTATGTGCTGTGTAAGATGTGTTATGTAAAAATTTACACGTTAGGTAAAATGTTTTCTCCAATGTATTTGTTAACAAAGTGGCTTAGAAAAGCACCCACAACAGACGACCCCCCCCCCCGTGAAAAGTGTTCTGCTGTTCAGCAACACCACTCCTAACAGAAACACCAAATACTTTCAGAACTACTTACAGAAATTTCCAGGCTCAGATTTATTCATAGCAAAATAAGCATTTAACCTGTGCAGCAAGAGTAATAAAGTCAGAAAATATTACATTCTGCTCACAAATAGCAAACAGAAAGTGTTCTTAGAAAATAACAAAAATTAAGAACAAACCACAGCTCCTTTCAACTGGCTGAGCACCGTCTCCAGGATAAAAATGTTAAGGAAGGAAGATAACCAAAGGATTACCGATTAGCACTACATGTGCCAGCAGTAACATATAGGGAAAAACTTACAAAATCATCAATTTGGAAAGATTCAAGCTCAGTCGTAATGAGAGCTGGTAATGCCTTTTTCTACAACCTTGAGGGCATTTCAGATTCCCAGGTAAATTCTACTGGTTAATCTCCTTTATTTCTGCTACCCCTGCAAAAGGGCATAGAATTACCAAACTGATAGATCATTACCTGATTTCTCATTAGCAGTGATGATTTAGTGCATCATTTTCACAGCCTAAAGGTCATTTCTATTGCCACAACACAAGAATCTCAGGCTCTTGCTGGTCAAAGGTGAAAAGTTTTCAGAAGGGAAATATTCTAGGGGGTGGAAAACCAGAATAAAGTCCACTGAACATTTAAAAAAAAAAAAAAAAAAAAAAAAAAAAACCTTTTATTCAAAAACCAAATTTTTAAAAATGCTGGCTTTTTATCCAAAAGATCACTAGAGCCATTCTCCTCAAAGCCAACCTAGTAACTCTTCTGCTTTAGGAGTAGAAGCTTTTATAGAGAGGTGTGGAATAAACCAGTCTTTTACACTAGCATGCACTCCCCTTTCAGAGTAAGAAAGGCATATGGAATCTGATCCAAACCTCACTTAATAAAAAAAGTCTTGCAAATTCACACTAGCCTATGTGCACGGTTGTTACCTCTTCTCTTAGTTACTGGAGGTTCAAAGAAGAAATGACCACTTACCCCACCAAGACAACTACTAAGCACATTGATAACAGCAGATAAAGAGTAAGTACATTCTGAAAGTAGGGCAGACTTGCCTGTGAGATACTAGAGATAAAACAGATCAGGAATACGTCTATGCTTGTAGGTCATCTCAGTTTATTGAATGGTTTGAAGTGCTGCTTAAAATAGCAACACTATACAGTCTGTACATGCAGTTCAATTTTTAAAAAAATTAAATATTTTTTTTTCAGAAGAGAAAACATGCATATTTATGTACATCATTTTGAGATAAAAGAAAGAATTACCATTTACAGCAGAAATTCCTCTTTACAAATCTTTTAAGAGACAAGGCAGGCAGTAGCAATTCTGCAGAAGGCAAAGCATACAAAGTATCTACACTGAAGATACAGTTTATTCATTGAGATACATTAGCAACTGCAGAAGAAGGTCGTTTAAGAATGGATTCAACTGAAAATGACAGTGGCTCAGTTGTTGAAAGTTTTGTTGTGGCCTGTTTGGCCCCACAGAAGTCTTTTGCGCAGCTGTCTATTGTAAACTTGTATTTTTGGTTCTCTTTAATGGCACACTCTCTGTATTTCTTAGAAGCATCTTCAAAAGTCTCTTTCACAAATGATGTTCTCAACTCTGCTCCTGATCTGTCAGGAAACGTTTGCTGGAACAGCGACTGAAAGGTATTGTATTTGAGCGGTGGAAGGGGCTTGGCACTGTCCTTGCTGATCTTGCTTAACACCTGTTCCTGAGGAGCCAGAGAATCCTTATCAGAAATCTGAGAGAAAGTCTTTTTTGGAGGTGAGAAAGCTGACCTCTCACGAGCTTCCTGAGGAAGGCACGGTATCTCATTACACGATGGCTGAATGTCTTGCGTGTGAGTCAGAAGGAGTGAATTTTCCAGTTTTGGAGACATGACGTCGTGCTCAGTGTTTGGACAGTCCTGACTTTGTGAGACCTTGGCATCCCAGCCTGCCCCAGGTTTGAGAGCTTGGACAGTAGTAGCGTTTAACAGGCATTGCTGGTAGAGGAGAGCATCGCTAATGGGGCCACATTTTGGCCACACTAAGAACCTAGAAGGCAGGGGATACTGCCTGTAGGTAGTAGCTACACTGACATTTGAAGAAATTAGTTCCATGTTGCTGGATCCTGAATACTGCATGGTTAGATCAAGGCAGGTTGGCAAAAAATTGCAAAACTCCTTGTTTGGAGTATCAACTTGAGTAGTGTTGAAAGCTGTTTTATACGAGTTGTATTCAGCTCCATGCACCATGCGGTTAGGGAGAAAAAGGGCAGCTGCTTGTGTAGCTTCCATCATCTCTCTCTCTTTATACTCTCTTTCTAGCATAATGTTTTCCAACTCTTTATCAGCAAAAGCCCGTCTCTTTCTCATCCTGTCACTTACAGGGGGTGGCAAGGGCGAATTCCCGCCCAGGTAAGGGTCTGTTGGAATAGGACGGTAACCTAAAACAACAAAGCAGCATTAGGAATGAAGCCGCATAAGAAAAACATTAAAGCTGTGTTTGTAAAAGGGCTCCGTTTGGAGCCGGTCCCGCCAGGCGCCGAGCACACGCTACAAACGCTGGACACCATCAGCTCCTACTGAAGTCTCTGTGCCACGGAGGCTTAGCCCCCTGCACCGTCAGGCACATTCAGTACAAGTTCCTCAAAGCAGATAAGCAAGCCCTGCTCCTCTGACATGCGTAGTCTCCTTCGAAGCTAGCTGATTAGCAACTTTATAAAGCAATTCCAAAACAGCAGATCGAGGGGAAAAAAAAAAAAAAAACAAAAAGGCAAAACCCTGCTGTGCGTTATGACTGGCATTGCGTCAAGCAGCTTAAGGAGATAACCATCCATTTTTAACAAATACGGAAAGTATTCAAACATTTTATTTCTTCTGAACTAAAAGAGAACTTCAACAAAACATAGAAATCCAGGCTCCAGTATAGTCAATTACCAAGCTAACTGGATTCATTTAATATAACCAGTAGGGTCCAATCCTGATTGCTCTACCCAGACAAGTAATCCCATTGAATTAATGGAACTAACTGCATGAGTAAGGAGAACAGGGTTTTACCTGTTTTCACTCTCATTCCTCTCACACAGGTTTCCCCATTGCCAAGGAAGATATCTATACCTACAGCTGATGCCTTTTCTATTCTCTAAAGATGAATCACTATGTACACATTGCTACAGATGGTAGAAAATTCCAAGGAGAACTAGGAGAAAAGAAAAAGAAAGTTAAGATAAATTAGAGGAAAGAATATAGAAGAGATTTTTTTAAAAGAGTGAACTGTAGACGAAAATTAGAGGTTTCTAACAGGACAAAGTTTTAATTGCTCTTGTGCAGGCAAAGAAAAGAGCTTTCTATTTTGAGGGAAAAAAAATAGATTTGAGAACTGTAACACTTCACAGGGCTATAGTTTGGAAAGTAATTAAAGCAGACATAGAAATAAATTTGGGCACGATTTGAAGAGGGAGTGGGGAACAAAAAATACACCCTCTCACTAAAATATCCATCGTTAAAATGCCATTCCTC